TGCAATCAGTCTGAAATATTAATAATTCCCTCAAATTTCTCAAATTAATCTTAAAAAACTGTAATAAACTTATTACGAAAAATATTACCTCGGCCGGGAGTCGAACTCGGATCGCTTGCATTCCGTTCTAAGCTTTATATGAAGCCTTATATATATGTGTGTATTATATATATATGTGTCGTATGTGTGTGTGTGTGTGTGTCTGTGTGTGTGTGTCTGTGTGTGTGTGTGTGTGCGTGTGTGTGTGTCTGACATATTTTTCCATGATATATATGATATTATATATATAATATATTATACAATATTCATTACTAATGTTAATGAAAAAGACTTATTTTGATTATTTTTCCGTATAACATGTAATAATTTTCCGAAGCAAAATCTAAGGCATTTAGAGGTTTGTACTATAGATTTTGCTTCAGAATCTTCGGAAAAAAAATCATTACTATGAGGACTTTTAATCGCGGCTTGACATGAGTTGAAAGGTATTAAAATTTGAAGCAATATGAACAAAATCCATTTTTCTTGTGATTGTGTGAGGTTATTTGTATTTATAAACTCATAATTGTGAAATGAAGGAGCCTTTAATATTCTCAATAAAAAAAATGATTAAAAAATGGTTAAGAAATTTTAATAAAATTATATTAGAGACTATGAGTAAGTATAAAACTTTTACCTTGAAATAAAAGAAGCTAACAGGAATCAATAGAATCGTGGTGATTAATATTACGTGAATCCTCCAGTAATTTATAATTAGAGATTTATTATAAAGAATAATGTGATAGAATGGATAATAAATGAAGTATATAAGAAAGCTCCATGTGACCAAGGCGTATAGGCAAGAAAGATACGGCCTAGAATGTCCAAGAGGATATTCGAACAAACCCAAACTGAAGAACGAGCCGAAGATTATTAATGGTGCCAATGCAGCCTGTAGTGTCTTTGTCATAGTTTCCAGGTCGATAAGTAGTTTGAATTAATAATTGCTGCACAAGACACAAACGTTATTAATACTTTTTATAAGAATTTTAAAAATAGTTTTTTTGCAAATCCTC